TGAATATAGGTTTTGTGTTCAGGGATTCCCATTCTTCTCAAGGTTAGCCACAATTTATTGTGATCTACACAGTCAGATGCCTTTGCTTAGTCACATAAAACAAAGATGGACATTCCTTTGGTGTTCTTTGCTTTCAGCCAAGGTCCATCTGACATTGGTGATAATGTCTCTAGTACTATGACCTCTTCTAAACCCAGCTGTATTTCTGGTAGTTCTCTGTAATTGTACTGTTCCAGTCATTTTTAGATAATCTTGCTTGCATACAATATGTGATATTGTTCAATATCCATCAAGTTTGATTTTTTAAATTAATTTTTTTAGTATATGAGACTCTAAGTATGCTCTATTGTACATAGGATTTTCGAAGCCTTGTTACTTTGGAAGTGGATGGCCAATCCTTCTTCCTGACTATGCAAAGATAATTGACTGTGTGGATCACAACAAACTGTGGCTGACTCTGAGAAGAATGAGAATCCCAGAAACTTGATTGTGCTTATGCAAAACTTATAGTTGGACCAAGAGGCAGTCATCAGAATAGAGCAAGGAAACACTGCATAGTTCAAAATCAGGAAGGGTGTATGCCAAGGATTTGTCTTATCTCCACACTTTTTCAATCTATATGTGTAACAGATTATCAGGGAGGCTGGCTGGGCTCTATGAGAAGGAATGTAGCATTAGTGTTGGAGGAGGATTCATCAACAGCCTGTGTTATGTAGATGACACAACCTTGCTTGTTCAATCTGAGGAGGACCTGAAGCGCTTGCTGCAAAAATTCAAGGACTGCAGCCTTAAATATGGATTGATGCTCAATATCAAGAAAACAAAGATTCTCACACTGGGCCAATTGGCAGCATCATGATAGAAGGTGACTCTTCATTGAGATTGTTGACAGCTTCAGTTTGCTTAGCTTCATAATCAACACTCTTGGCACCAGAAGTCGGGAAATCAAAAGACAAATTGCATTGGGGAAGTCTGCTGTCAGAGACTTCTCCAGAGTATTTAAGAGAAACGATGTCATTCTGGAGACTAAGATGTACCCAACCCAGGCCATGGTTTTCGCAAAGAAAGGTGGAAAATGACTGAAGATGAGAGAATTGATGTCTTTGAGTTGTAGTGCTGTGGAAAATATTGAATGCACCATGGACTGTTAGGAGAATTAACAAGTTCGTCCTCGAGAGGATGAAACCACGCTGCTCATTGGAGGCAAGAATTCTGAAGCTTTGTCTGACAATTTTGGGCATGTTGCAAGAAGGGACCAGTCCTTGGAGAGATACATCATGCTTGGGAGGGTGGAGGGACAGTGCAAGAGAGGAAGATCCTTGAGATGGATTGATTCAATGACTGAGGTTATGGGGGTAGGTGTGTCAGAGATAATAAGGTTGGCTCAGGATAGAGCAGGGTTCAGAGCTGTTGTACATAGGGTTGCTGAGTTGCAAGCAACTTGACAGCACATCACAACAACATATTAGTCTACTACAATTAATTTGGACCCACCTTGAGGCTCCTGATTCAGTCCATTGTTTTCTTAATCACTTGCTACATATCAAAGAGCTGATATGTAGCAGGTGATATCAGATAATGGATAAGGATGATAGAGGAGAATGAATACCTTTGAGTAGTGTTGCTGGAGAAGAGTACTGAATATCCCATGGAGCACCAAAAGAACAAACAGATATGTCTTGGAAAAAGTGCAGCCAGAGTTCTCCTTGGACACAAACTTGTTGAAGCTTTGTCTTTTATATCTTGGGCATGTAGCTAGGTGAGGCTATTCCTGGAAAGGACATCATGCTTGGAAAGATGGAGGGTCAGTAAAGGAGAGGAAGACACCAAATGAAATGAACTGACATGGTGACTTGAACAATGAGCTCTAGTGTATTAGAAATTATGAGGATGTACGGAATAGGGCAGGGTTTAGGTTGCCTATTCATTGGGTTGTGATGAGTTGTAACAACGGTAACAACAACAACAATAGAGATTCCTTAGAATGTAAGCCTAGCAATAGGCTTTTGGAAAAAAAAAAATCATACCCCTGAAAACCCTGTGGAGGATTTCTACTCTGCACGCATTGGGTCGCTATGATTTGGGATCTTCTCAAAGGCAACTAACAACACATGCTGTGTACCCATTGCCATCATGATTTGAATGAATGACATGTATGAAAGCATCTTGGTATCTGTAAGAAGCACATTTAAAACATGAAAATGTCTGTGGTTTATGTTGGCGACAATCACAAGTATTGCTGATCTTAAAAGGAGGAAGAAGAACATATCTGGAATTTAGACAATCCCTTCTATCTCAGTGCTACCATACTTATGATTAAAATCAATAGGACACTACAGAATCTCAATTCTGTGTGACTGCTAATGGTGCAGATCCTTACAAAATGAAAATTTGGCTTACCTCACCAGGCAAAAGAACTATGGTCAGAGAAGATTCTTGCTGGAGGGAATACAGAAGGAGGTATGTAACTAATTCTAAATACCATCTGTCACTACCTAACCATATGCAGAAAAGAGAAGTGTAACTGAATTTTAATTGTGGTGTTGGAGAGGAGTACTGAATATCCCATGGATTGCCAAAAGAACAAGCAAATGTGTCCTGAAAGAAATGCAACCAGAGTGCTCCTTATAGGCAAAGACTGTGAAACTAACTTCCTTTGTTATATTTGTATGTATGTATCTCAAATATCTTTCTTTCCACCTTATTCCTTTATTATAAAACATAACACACAAAATGAGTCTAGTGTCTTTTTGTTTGTCTATATGCTAACTATTATGTTGGAACCTACTCATGGAACATACTGAGATCTATCACTGATCAGAATTCAGTGCTACAAAGTTGTCTTCATGTAATCTGTTTACTTCTGCAAACAAGCTCAATCATTCCCTCTCTGTGAGAACATATTTGGTTGGAAACTCCTTGAGTTTAGCAGATTTATATGTTCGGGCCACCCTCAGAGGTATCAGTAATTTTTAAAATTTTTTTTTTAAAGCTACAGCAGGGGGCTCTGGGGCAGGATTCCTTGGTTTGGTCTGGAGAGACAGACAGACCAGGGAAAATGTTATCATGATACATGGTTTAGTTAAATTGGTCATCTAAGACCAATGAACCTCCTTGGGGATAAAAATGACACAAACCTGTAACAATTCTGCTCAATTCCATTTTTTTTTTTTTTGCAGACTGCTATTAAGGGCTTTGTCAAAGTTCTAAAGAGCTATTATGTCAGTTTAAAGACTAACATGCACCTGACCTAGGCCATAGTCTTTTCAATTATTTCCTATGCATCTGAAAGCTACACAGTGAATAAGGATGACTGGAGTGTCAATGCCACTGAGTTGTGATGTTGGAGAAGAGTATTGAATATCCTATGGACTGCCAAATCTGTTTTGAAGGAAGTGCAATCCAAGTGCAAGACAAGAATGATGAAATTTCACATCTATTCCTGTGGGCATATTTTCACAGGCTACTCCTTAGAGAGAGACAGCATACTGGGAAAGGAGGAGAGTTAGCAAAAGAGGAAAATCTGCAACAAGGTGAATTGACAAAGGGACGGTAACATTGGACAGAGATCATGAATATGGCGCAGAATAGAGCAAAGTTCAGATCTGTTGTCCACAGGGACACTGAGTCAAAGGCAATTTTATGGCACCTAATAACAAAACAACAATTTGATAGTTATGATTATAACTGTCATGAAAATAAACAAACAGGTTCACTTCCATGGAGTTAATTGCAACTCAGGGGGGCTTTTCAAGGATGGATATCTTTATCAGAAGAGACTGAATCTTTCCCTTTTAGAGTAGCTGTTGTATATAGGGTGGCTATGGGTTGTAACTGTGACACTGATGTGTCAAATGTGTTAATGATTGGCTACCCGATGCTGACAGAGAGTGGGGTGGAGCTCCCCTATTAAAACAAGCTTGGAAGGAGGAGTGGCATCCACTTCCGTAATAGCTTGCCTCCTGTGAACCTGGAGAGAGGATGAGAGACACCCAGTGTTGAGGACAATCCTTTATAGGGTTGCTATGAGTCGCCTGCAACTCAACGGCACTTAACAACAACAATGGGTTGTAACTGACTTGATGGCACCTATCAACATTGCAATGCAAAGGTTAAGTTGTGCATTTATATGTATCATACTAAAGCTTTATTTGATAGACTTTATACAAGACAGTTTTGAGACTAATTTCATAGGTTTTAAGAAAGACATTGCCTTACTGGACTTAAATTGATATCATACTACCTTAGTTGACATCTGTTATAACCATTAAATGGCACGTTACATTAATATTTTAAATAACTACTCTGAGTTTTCTTATTTGGTAGATAATTAGGATTCTTGAAGTGCCAGTATTATATATTCATAGAAAAAGTCATTTGGTTTCCAAACTAGACCAATTTCAAGAGCTGTCATCCATGTTTGTTAAATCATTCTTCTGTGAGGATGGCACAGGATAGGTCAAAGTTCAGGTCTGTTGTTCACAGGGTCACTGTTGAACCCTACTTGACTCAATGACACCTAACAACAACATTAACAGTCACTGTCAATTAGAACAATCACTATGAAGAACAAATAAGCAATTAAAAATTACAACTAAACTCCAGCAATTCTTACAAAAACTTTATTGTACAAATATAGACACAAAATATAATTGCACAAAGAATTTTTTCAATTTAGTAATGAGATCCATTTCACAAGTATAAAAAGATATTATGTACTTTTAATACTGTGAACATATATAAAAATAAATTGTAAAAAAAAATAAATTGTAGTCCAAATACTTAATAGTAAAAATATTTACTAGTTTATTTTTCCATAGCAGAACACTATTTAAAAGATATATTATAGGAGCCCAACACAGAGGAATATTTGAACTGGGATTGATGGAGAAGCCTATTTTTTATGAAGCAATCACTGGGATGCATGTAGTTTAAAATTTAGACTCTTCATCATTTGTTTATTCTTCCAAAAAGCGTGATGTTGAGGTATCCACATCAGGCTACTTAGCCTTCCCCAATGCTAGCAATCTTTTCACTGTCTTCTTATTCCTGTAAGACAAATTAGAAAACAATTTTGAACAGTGTTCTACTACTTAATGGTGGTTGATAAAGAGAATATATTTAATAAATGAAGAAACAGATTAGTCACAAATTTGCAGGACTTGTGAACTATTTTCTAACATTTTATACACTCCCTTTCCTTCCCATATGGCCAGTCTAAAAGGGACAGAGGGAACACATAAAGGGGGAAATGTTATTCTTAACATTGTTTCCTCATTTAACTGTAATGTAATTCCCTCCTAGAGATTGCAGACACAGCCTCTGATTAGTTCCTCACATACTTTATTCTAACCTACCCCAATTACACTTTTGCTTCTACTGACATCTTGAAACTACTCTCAAAAAGGTCACCAGGGCGGTCCTAAATTGCCATTCCTAACAGCACTGTAATAAATCATGGTCATCTCATTGTCACCCACTTCTTTCTAAACTTCTGTTCATTGCTTCTTTTTACTTAATCTCCAAAATTCTTTGTTATTTTTATTATTACTGTAAGTATATTTAAAAAGAAATTTGCCATTTTAACACTTGTGTTATGTGTGAGTCAATGACGTTGCTTAATCATGCTGTTTAATCGCCACCATTACTCATTTACTGGTTTTTCCATTACCCTTAACAGATGCTTTGCCCCAACTGTACTAGTTTCTGCTGTTTCCATTGTCCACTGTTGATTCTCTTTAGGGTTCTTTTTTCAGTTCTTTTATTACTTAGTTTACATGGTAGTGACTCTCAAAGCTGTTCATATCTGAACCATGGTTCTCCTGGAACTCAAGAGCATCTATTTGAGCATCTTCCAATTATCAAATATACTTCCCTCTGTGCCGAACTCCTCTCTTCCTCTTATCTTTTAAAACTGCATTCTGCTCCCTTTATGCCTATACATCTCTTGAATTTATTCCATTCTTGTTTAAATTTTTTATCAAAGTCCTATATTAGGCCTGATCTGAATTATAATCTCTCATCAGTCCTCCACTCTAGTTTTCCTGTTGGAAGATTTGTTTACACTCCAAAATAACTTAAAAAATAAAACATCCACACCTCACACCAAAAATCAATTCAAGGTGGATCAGAGAGGGACCTGGGAGTAAAACCCAAAACCATAAAGTTTATAAGAGATAAACCGGAATCAAGCTTAGAAGCACTAGTCCAAGTATAAAGATACTGCCAAGTACAGCCAGAAATGCACAATCTGACGTGGATAAAACTGATAAATGAGACCTTCTAATAATTAAATCCATGCTTATATAAAACATTTTTTTTCCAACAGGGTGAAAAGAAAACCTACTGACTGCTAGCAAACATTTGGCAATACCATCTCAGACAAGAGTCTCATAAGGAAAGTCTACAGAATACTCCAGGGCCTCCACAAGAAAAAGACTGATAATGTAATTACAAAATGGGCAAAAGGCATGGAAAGAATTTTCAGAGAGGAAGATATTCAAATGGCAAACAGACAAAGAAATGCTCAAAATCATTGGCAACAATAGACATGCAAATCAAAACCACAATAAGGTACCATCTCACTCCAGAAATAGCAGCAAAGTTTATCAGGGCATCAAGTAATTAATGTTGGAGAGGGTATGGTGAGAAAGGAACTCTTATATATTGTTGGTGGGATTGTAAAATGGTGCAACCATTCTGGAAGGCAGTTTGGTGCTTCCTGAAAAAAGCTGAACATTTATCAACAAATGAATGAATGGATAGAGAAGCTGTGGTATATCCATACAATGGAATATTATGCAGCATTGAAAAACAAGGAACTTATGAAATATACAAAATGGGTGACTCTGGAGGACACTATGCTGAGTGAAATATCTCAGTCACAAAAGGACATATACTGTATAATGCCACTGTTATAAAACAGGACTGACATCAGGGTTGGAGGGAAACTAAGAAAAAAGGGGATAAATAATGTATACAGCATTGAAACAGATGAGGGAGAGAACTGCTTAAAAGGAACATATGATAGGTATTATTTACCAGACATTAGTCCAGAATAAGAGCTGCATAGTAAAGTGGACTTGATAGGGGTGTGGGAGGGAATTATACAACAGTGAAAGAATTTTTTTTTCAAAGAGAAAAGCAAACTGGGGTGGGGGGAGGGAAGAAAATGTACAACAGTGAATGAATGGAAATCCAAATTCTCTATAAACTTTCATTAAAATATCAATTGAAAAAAGGCTGAATATAGAAATTCTATATGATCCAGCTATTCCACCTCCTTGGAATATACCCTGAGAAAATGAGAACTGAGACACAGAGACTTGTACACCATTGTTCATAGCAGCATTATTTTTCATCACAAGAACATGGAAACAGCTCAGATGTTCAACCACAAGTGAATGGATTGAGAAATTATGGTACATTCACACAATGGAATCTCCTATGCATCACACAGAGCACTATGGAGCAATTATTTTGTAAATTATTACCTAACTTGGGAGGGACTGGAGAGTATTATGCTGTGTGAACTAACTCAGTCCCACAAGGACAAATATTGTATAAAACCATTATTGTAGAATGAGTATGAGGATCCAAAGGGAGGGAGGGGGAAGCAGAAGGATGAGGATGTGCAGGGGGAAGGGAGATTAATCATGGGGTTGTACAATTTGATAGGTGGGGCGGTGAGGGAAATTGAAAGAATATTTTCTGGAAAACAATGTATTCGGATTTTGTAAATAAAGTAGTCTAATGATAATAAAAAAAATAAAAAGAGATAACACTTCCCTCCATATCCCTTTCATATTACCTCTAATTAATCCCGTGACAGCTGAATTTAATACTTGTCTATGGACATTAGCAGTTCCATGTTGTTAGCTGCCAGCCAATCAATTCAAATACCTAACAACTTCATGTGTGCTGAGTAGAACTGCTTCATAAGGTTTTTAGAAGCAGATCATCAGATCTGTCTTCCCAGATGGCTCTGGATAGATCTCAACTGGCAACCTTCAGCTAATTAATAGTTGAGTACTTAATCATTTATGCCACCAGGGTCTGTATACAATCTAACATGACTTGTATGTGTATGCCCACACGTATATTGTTCTAAAGGGAGGGTATATAGTCGCATTGTTGTCATGTACCAATTGAGTCAGAACCAACCCACCCATAGCTGACCCTCTAGTAGATTTTCAGAGGCAATAAATCATATGGGAGAAAACCGCCCATCTTTATCCTGCAGAGCAGCTGGTTGATTTGAACCAAATACCTTTGTGTTCACAGTGCAATTCCCTACCACTAAAGCCATGAGCTCCCTAAAGTGAGTATTATATTCTCAAACATACTTGTACCTCAAAAGTGACAGAACAGTGAACTACAGGATATTTAATATGTAAGACCTTTAACACATACATTAAATCCAGCATGATTTGTTTCCCCCATCTGGAAATTTTATACAAGCTTCCATCATACTGACGTTGGCAATTTCTAAGTACAGCATATTCTTTCATTTATTCCATGTTTGTATGGGCTGTTCCCACTATCTATATCCCACAGTTACTGTTTTCCAACTGGTAAACTTTTTCTCAGTAGATGTTTTGTTGCTGTTGTTAGGTGCTGTCTAGTTGAGCACAACTCACAGCAACCCTATGAACAGTGGATCTGAACCCCGTCCTATCCTGTGCCATCTTCACACTTCCTGACACACTAAGAGCCTATTGCAGCAATCACCTTAATGTTCTATAAACTATTTCAAACCAGGTGCTTTCCATAGATTTTCATAGCTTTTCTCACTCATTTCCCTTCAAGCATACTACACAGATTTTTACACTACTAGTGAAAAGCTGACAGCTTGTAAAGGCATGCAGTTCGAATTCGTCAGCTGCACTATAGGAGAATGATGGGCAATCTCCTCCTGCGCAATTTACTGCCTGGGGCAGTTCCAGCTCAATGGCACACAACAACAATAACCTGGTGGCCTAGTGATAAGGAGATACACACTGCCAACTGGAAAGCATGTGGTTCAGATCCACCAGCTTTTTCAAGGGAGGAAAGCAACTTCTGAGCTGTGATTTACTGCCTTTGAAAACCCACTGGAGTGTCAGCTGTGGGTCAGTTCCAACTGTACATAACAACAACAAATCTTTATTCTCAGATAGTTATTTGTCACAGAGTAAAAACTCTTAATATGCATCTCTGTTTATTTGTTTAGTTTTTTGGGCCCACCTCTCTTCCTTAAACTAGGTTTTAGGAATTGAATTGTATCCTAAGCCATATGCCAATAAGTGATACCTCATCTGGGTATGTTATGTTGATGCAGTCCTATCAGTGTACAGTATATTAAACCTAAAGTTTTTTGAGATGTAGAAAGAGCAGATTAAACTCAGAAGAGAGCAAGTAAAAACACGGGAAATAAATCTTCATGGAAAGGGAAGACCGCCAAAGAGGAAACAAAGACTTTCCCACAGAGCTAACAGAGAGTGCCTTTACCTAAAGCCAGTGATATTTGTTTGCTAAAGCCACCCACTTGTAGTGTATGTTACAGGAGCACCAAGAAACTAACATGACAAGTCTCTAAAAATGAGGCTGACAGAAAGCTCAGACTTGTTAAGATACTGTAAGTCTGCTAAAAAGTACCTAGTTAAATTAGTACCAGTTACTACCAATATAGTTCCTACTCATGCAGATTACATGCATGTCAGAATAGAATCAGGGTCCTGTAGAGGTTTACACGGGGTACTTTTTTAAGATCAACAGGGATTTCTTTTGAGGTACCTCTGAATAACCTCAAACTTCTCACTCTTTAGGTAACAGCCCAACCTAATAACTGTTGGTACCAGGTAGGGATGGTACACACATACAATAAAGTTCTAATCCACTTAAAGGTCTTTCTGTTTCCTATTATTTGCCTGGCCTACCTGGCTAATTAATAAAAAGGTCTGATACTTAATTCTAATTCATTGCTGTCAAGTTGGAACCCACTTATAGCTGGCCCTCCAGAGAATTTTCCAGAGGCTCTCAATCACATATGAGGAGATGACCCGTCTTGCTCCCATGTAGCTGCTGGTGGATTAGAGCCACTGGAGAGGTACCGCGTTGGTGTTAGCAGCTTCCTGTGGACTATGTCACCAGGAATAATGAAGCCAATTGTCCCAAGTAAATTTTCCCTAGTATATTCCAAAATATTTATGTATGTCAGATACCCATTTAGACTTTTACTGTTCTGTGTGTTCTGCTTAGAAAAATACTTTAGAGTTACCTCTGAACACACTGAGGACACAGCATATTATCTTCCATTTCTAGAGATGGAAAAACACAGGCTGGTAGTAGTAAGAGAGAGATCATCTTTCTAGGACTGTCTGGCACCCAGACTTGACCTGAGTGGAACTGCAGACGAACCCAACCATCTACGTCTGAGGGGAGAACTCTGCCATGGACCACACACCATCTACCACCTAGAAAAATAAAGAGAAGCAACAAAATCAAGGACTAACACTCCCCAATCCAGCCCATCAGCCTTTCTTAAAAAATCAAAACACCACAATTGAATCAGAAGCATGAAAATGTAGATCAAAAGCCACTATAAGTTCCTAAATTATGTCTCATGAGGAAAGACATGATAACTTTTTAGGTTGCTTGTTTGTATCCAAGATTCTGAGATTGTTAATTGCTATCAAATCAGCTCCTGCTCATAGTGACCTTATGAAGGGCAGATCACAACCTGCACCATCCTATCCATCTCTGCTATTCTTGGATTGCAATGCAGTTTCTTGCCACTAGGCCACCAGAGCTCACCAATCTCTGCTGTTCTCAAACCCGCTGTTAAAATCACTGAGTCAACCCATCCTGTTGAGCCTCTTCTTCTCCTTTACTGAACCTTCACATTTCCAAGCAAGTTGTCCTTTTGCAAGTTTGGGCCCTCACAAGTACATGAATTGAAGTCTCCCTCTCTTCTCTAATGGGTATCCTGGTCACACTTCTTACAAGATAGACTATTTTGTTTGGTATATTGCTTTTGTTCTTAAGAAAATTATTATTTATCAACCTATTTACTTTTATTATTTACAAATGAAGAAAGTGAAGTTTAGTGGTTTTAGTTTTCCAGAGTCATGACATAAAATTCACTTTGTGTGTGTGTGTGTGTGTTTAAATTCAGGTATTTTAATCCACAGTACATTTCCCTAACCTCCACACTATATTGCCTTAATTATCAATAATAGGCAAGAAAAGGCTTTGTTCAAAGCTTGAAAAATTTATATATGAATGCCTACAAAGGCATGAACATGAATGTTTATAGATGCAGAAATAAGTAAGTAAATCTATAAACAGATAGATAATAAATGCATACTATACTTGGTGCTCCTTGGGAGAAAGATGAGCAATCTCATCCCGTGCAATATATAACCTCTGAAAACTCAATGGAGTGTCAGCTTTGCGTTAGCTCTGAGTTAATGGCACATAGTAACGACATGATGATGAAATGAATCAGGGCTATAGGAAACAATCTGTATAAAACTAATAATATTTAGGAGGGAAAACAAGTCACACATATACACATAGATGCACACAAACTCATTTCATGGAATTTATTCTGACTTATTGATATTGTTGTACACAGTTGAGTCAGAACCCACTTATAGCTGACCCTCCAGAGGGTTTCCTGAAGCAGGAAATTGCACATTAGGTGGCCATTTTTCTCCTGTGGAGAAGCTGGTGGATTTAAAACATATGCCTTTGGTTTGGCAGCACTACTCCTTACCACTATGCCACCAGAGTTCCCTATGTAATGTTGTATCACATCAAATTGGAACTGACCCATAGCTGACCCTTCTGAGGCAGTAAATCACATAGGAAATTATCCATCTTTCTCCTGCAGAGCAGCTGGTGGATTTTTACCACATACTTGTGCTTTGAAAGCACAAGAAAACAAAAATCCTCACCACTGGGCAAATAGACAAAATCATGATAGAGGGAGAAAAGATTGAAATTGTCAACAATTTAATCTTGCTTAGATCCACAGTCAATAATATCCTTGGTACCCGCAGTCCACAGATTGGGAGACATATGGCATTGGGAAAGTCAGCTGTCAGGGGTCTCTCCAAAGCTCTGAAGAGCAATGACATCAGTTTGAAGCCTAAGGTGCAAAAGTAAAAACAGACAAGTCTTGGAGAAAGTGCAGCTGGAGTATTTCTAGGGGGTAAAGACAGTGAATCTTCATCTCATATATTTTGGACTTGTTAGGAGAGGCTATTCCTTAGAAAGAGGCATTATGTTTGGAAAGTGGAGAGTCAGTGAAAGAGATGAAAACCCTCAGAGAGAGATGGATTGATACAGTGTTTGTAGCAATGTGCTTAAATGTATTGGGGATGATAACGATGGTACAGAATAGGACAGAGTTCAGATTTGTTGCTTATGGGATCACTGAGTCAGACACTACTCCACAGCACGTAACAACACAAAACCATCAGCACTCCCTATGTATTATAGATGATAGCAGAATTGCTCAATAGTTTCCAAGGCTGCTAATCTTTACAAAGACAGACAATCTTACTAAATCCTGCAGATTGGCCAGGGGATTTGAACCTTTGACCTTTTGGTTAAGAGTCAAATGTGAATTCACTGTAGCACTAAAGTTTCTTCACAAAACGATAGAGTGTTATTGCACGTGCCTCAAGTTAAGAAAGAAAGAAATCTAAACTATATTATTTATAGGGATATATTTCAAGAAAAACAGATAAGAGATATCACTAAAATCAGGAAACAGGTTTTTCACTGTGAGGAGGAAGAATTTTTACTGGGAAGCAGCACAGTAAGGTGTTTTGGAAACCAAGGAATGCTGTTTCTTTGTGCTGCTGCTGCTGCTGCTGCTGTTAGGCATCATTGAGTCTGCTACTGTGACTTCTAGCAGCCCCATCCTGCCCTATCCTAATGCCACCTTTACCATTTCTTTCTTTTTTTAAATTTTATTATTTTGTGTGTGTGTACCATCAAATCGGATCTGACTGGTACAGGAGGATATTGTCCCTCCTTCAAAAGAGCATCTGGTGGATTTGAACTGCATATCTCTGGGATTGCAGTGCAGCTTCTTGCCACTAGGCCACCAGAGCTCCCATCACCATTTCTTAAATACTTGAGCCCATTGTTAAAGCCACTGTGTCAATCTATCTTAATTAAGGGTCCTCCTCTCTTATGCTTACCCTCTACCTTTCTAACCATAATGCAGTTTCCCAGAAACTGGTCCTTCCTAGCAATATGCCCAAGGTATGTGAGACAAAACTTCACCATTCTCACCTACAAGGAGCACGCTGGTTGTACTTTCTCTTAAGACATATTTGTTTTTCCTTTTGGTAGTCCATGACTATTCAATTCTCTTCTCCAAAACCACAACTAAAAGACATTGATTTTTCTTCATCCTTAGTCATTGTCCAATTTTAGGTTGCATCAGAAGTAATTGAAAAGACTGTGGCTTGGTTTAAACTGCTATCAAGGTTGTTCAGCACCTTGGATAGAGCCTTGACTGCAGAGTTTCCCAATGCAACACATCCTTCGATTCCTTGACTGCTTGCACCAATAGTGTTGATTATGGATCCACATAAGATAAAAAAAATTTGTGCCAGTGTTATTTATATTAAAGGCTAGTGTTTGTTTATAATTAGGCTGCTTGACCAAAAGGTTTGTGGTTTGAACCGACCAGCCACTAAGTGGGAGAAATATGAGACAGGCTGCATATGAAAAGATTGACAACTTGGAAATCCTTTGGGGTCATTTCTATTTTGTCCTGTAGAGTGGCTATCAGTCAAAATCTATAAGCTGGCCGTCAACAGTGAGTCTTCAGGTTGTAGGTGATCCTACAATCAGATTATACTTTTCTCTCACCAGAGAATTCTGCTAAGTAATGCGTCTCCACTAAATCATCAGATTTAAAAAAATTTAACCAATGCTAAGAGTCAGAGCTGACTGGATGGCAGTGGTTTTTTCATATTTTAAACTAGCTCCTTTTACAATGAATTGCATCTAAAGTAAAATGAGAACTGCTTAATGCCAACCTCTCACTTATATATAGTAAAAACGTGTTCAGTTAGCCTATGCCCAGATCCTGATATTTAGCTGGGCCAGCTATATGGCTTTGCCAATTGTTCCATGGAATACATCTGTCCAATCAGGGCTCACAACTCATTGGCCACCCTGACCTCCACTAGCCTGCAGGTTGTGTCCTCCTAGTTGTGAAATACCCATTCTGAGATAATTCCTATCAAGTCTTACCAGTTGAACTGGGAGAGCAGTAAATAATTCAAAACAACAAAAAATATCTAACCAGGAATCACATGGGTATCTATCAATCCCATCTGCAATATATAAATCCACTAAGCTCAATTAACCTAGTTTCCCTTTCTTGAAGAGTACTCACTCAAGGTTGCTCTTACCAATGACTTTCGGCAACAATGTCTCAGCTGCAGTAGGAAGGCGACATGAGTTCACAGCCTTAGGCTGAGCTGCTCTTGAAGAAATTCTTGTCCAGGACGCCATTATGGACTCCTCAGCTGAAGTGACCACTTCTGCTATGTAGGTCCTTTCCTGTGTCTCCTTGGTATTAGAACTTTTCTGAAGTCCTGGTCTCTTGGTACTGCTTTTCTTCAAATGTGAGCACATCTTGGCCTCCTTTGGAGTGACAGGAATATACTGCCAAAGAAAGTCACAGTGAGTACTCATTAAAAAGAGAGTTCTGGTGGTGGTGGGGACATAAAGGTCAGTTAGTGGTTTGAATCCGCCATATGTTCCAAGACAGAAAGATGGGCAGTGTCCTCGCACACAAATGTACTGATGGTCAGCTGCTTTGAGTTGGAACCCGTAGGAATGGACAGTCGTGGGTTTGGTTTTGACCTTATTCAGTGAAGTGTTAAATTTTTGCATCTTTTAACTGATGCAAGCATGTATATCAGTGGGGAAAAAGTTTAGAAAATAGTCCCCCAGAACAACTAAAAAACCAAATCCATTGCCTTTGACTCAATTCTGACTCATAGCGATCATCTGGGACTGAGAACAATTGCCCCAATGGTGCGAAAATCCTTACAGAAGCAAAATGTCCCAGCTTTCTACCGTGCTGTGCCTGGTGATTTTGAATCACTAACCTCTAGGCTGGCGGGCAAGCATTTTAATTGCTGTACTACCAAGGTTGCTTTCTCTTAGGACATTAATTGCAAACCAGGTAATTTTTCTCTGCAGGAAAGACATATTTGGCAATGTTTGGAAAAACGCTGACTGTCAAAGTAAAGGTGGAAGGGGGAGTGCTACTGGCATGTCATGGGTAGAAGTAGGACAACCACAAAGCCTCCAACACAATGGGCAGGAAAGGAAAAAGAACCCTTTCTCCCCAGCCACCCACCTCGCTCCAGATGTCACAAAGCCTCGGCTGAGCAAACTGCCCCTAGAGGAGCCACAGGCATGGAGAAGGCGGTGGAAGGAGGACCCAGGATCACAGCCATTCTCACACTCCTCACTTACCTTTTGGTCCGGATAAGAATTTGTCTGGACCCTCAGATACAGGTCTGATTTCTAAGAAAATTATGGAAGAAACAGAAGAGTTAGCCAAGTTTCCCATCCATGCCTGCGCCCGTGGATCTGGATTTCCGCAGGTATACTCACCTGCCCATCGGTGCTCAGGTTTAATTGCTGGCACCAGTAACGCAAAGTGTCCCGATGAACCTCAGTAATGGGAGGCAAAATGTCTGGCAAAGGAATGCGGATCATTTTGTTACCGGATGATCTTTGGCGAGGTTTGACTTGTTCATTTGTTTCAGAAGCAACTGAGAAAAAAGCGAAACCAAAGTTGTTGTGTGCCGCGGAGTAGAAACCAACCCATAGCTGACCCTCCAGCTGGTTTTCACAGGGGATGCCCATCCTTCTTCAGTGGAGCATCTGGTGGATTCGAAGGTCGTGGCTTAGGGACTGTTACTAGGCCACCAGAATTTAAACATATACTTCAACATGGACTAGATTAAAAAAAAAAATTTACAGAGTTTCTCATAAACCAGTTTGTACACACAAATCACATTAAATTCTGTATTTCATAAATTAGGCTTATTGTGACCCTCCATTGGGTTTCCGGCTGTAAACCTTTGAGGCATGAGAAGAGAAATTAGGGAACAGGAAACAAAAGACTTGCTCAAATCCACCAGATGCTCTGCTGGAGAAGGAGGGGCAATCTCCTCCTGTACCAGTCAGATTTGATTTGATGGCACACACACACACACACACACACACACACACACACACACACACACAAAATAAAAATGAAAAAAAAAGATTATTATGCTCAAGACCTTAAAATGATAGACACGAGACACAAAATTGGGACCTTAAATTCTAAACACTACTTATACTAGAATTTTATTTTTCTTTCATGCTTACTTCCCAAATATGTAGATCATAATACTGGATTATTCCTGCAATGCTTGGATTTTGGAGCAGAAAATTTTGCTCCTACAAAAATCAGAGAATGGCCCCTCCTCCCCCTACAACCAACGATGTGAATATACTTCATTTTTTTCTCTATTTTAGCTCATTTCACATCACTTAGCTCTGATCCTTTTCTATTTAAATTATCTTGAAGTTTTCATTATTGTCCAAAAAAATAAAAATCCCCTTGAGACCGTTACTCTGTGGTGTTAAACTAAGCACAGAGAACATATAGGAAAAGTCTATTAAGAGCAGCTAGATACTTAACTGGTAATTAATTACCAAGTAAATGCTAGATGTTTTTCCAAGTTATTTCTCTCTATAAGAGAATTTTAACTCATCTTGCTGCCGGATGTTCTATCCAGAGCACGCCATGCACCTCTTAGGTCTTAAAAGCAGGCAGCACAGTGAAGTATGCAAGTTTGGGAACTCTTCTGGACTTCATATAAGAAGGGTCCATGGAGAAGGTAAGACTTCAGCTGAGTGCTCCAGAGTGAAGGGTGTATGGGGAGCACTGAGCAATCCCTGCCTTCATACCTTTACTGCGGTTCCTGGGCTTCTTCGGCTTGACATCGGCCATTGGAGGAGCACTTGGTGCTGTCTGATCTGTTTCTGTATATTCTTCCTTTGCTAGAGATAATGTAATATTTGGATTTCCTTCAACTAAGTCCATGTTAAGTAAATTCTGGAAAAAGAAGATTTCATCAGTCACTCATTCTCCTTGGATACCACACAACTAAATTGTATTTGCGTAAAACACACTAATGAATCCAACATCAAAAGCAAACAAATTGCCTTCAAGTTGATTCATACTCATTGTGACTTCATCCAATTTCCAAGGATATATATCTTAAGGGGAGCAAACGTATCTTTCTTCCCCTCTCAGTAGTGGGTGGATTCAAACCACTGACCCTCTTATTAGTAGCACCCCATTACAATGGCTCCCAACTAATGAGTAAACCTAAACTCACTGCCCTGACTGGTTGATTCTGGCTCACAGTGCCCTCCATCATTCCAAGATTGTAAATCTTTACTGGAAGAAACTGCCTACCTTTCTCCTGCTCAGCAACTGGTGGACTCAAACCACTGAAAATATCTTTTGGTTAAAAGCCCAGAACCTTATGCATTGCATCACAAGGCCTCCTTAACCAATAATACTGTTGTTAGAAGTCATCAAGTTGAGTCCTCCTCCTCGTGATACTCTGAACAGAGCAGAACTTTACTCAGCCTGCACCATCATCATGATTTCTACCATATTCAAGCCCATTTTTGTGTCACTGTGTCAATCCATGCTATTGAGAGTCTTCCTCTCTTTTACTGATTCTCTACTTTGAATAATGAATAAAAAAACTATTGTTGTCAAGTCAGAATCAACTCTTAGTTGACCCTTCATAGGGTTTTCAGAAGCTGTAAATCTCACCCATTTTCACTTACTTCCTATGCCTCTGAAAGTTGCACAATGAATAAAGTAGACTAAAGAACAATTGATGCCTTTGAATTGTGATGTTGGAGATGAGTAATTGAGTAACAGGGACTGCCAAAAGAACAAACAGATCTGTCTCGAAGGAAATGCAACCAGAGAGCCCTTTGGAGGCAAGGATGGTGAGACTTTGCTTCAGTTATTTTACTCATATTGTCATGAGGAACCAGTCTGTGGAGAAAGACATCTTATTGTGGAAAAAAAAGAAAGTCATTGAAAGGGAGGAAACCCCTCCCTGAGAAGAGCTGACACAGTGACTACCACAATGTACTTAAGGAGGAGAGATCAGGAGACCTGTGTAGGACAGGGCAAGGTTCAGATCTGTTGATCATAGTGTCCCTATGAGTCACAGTCTACTGGGCCCAATGGTAGCTAACAAAAACCACAAGGGAGGAGTTTACCCTTCTTCCTTAGAGCTGCTGGTGGATTCAAATTGCCCAAGGACTATGCCTTTGGATTAACAGTGTAAGTCTAGATCAGACAAGAAAGCAAGAAAAAACTAACTTATCTTAAAATATTTTGAAAGGGAGCTGTGTCCTCTTAGTATGCAATAACAAGGGAGGTTATTAGACTGAAGCTCAATCCTTTTAGACTACAGGGATAATTTTGAGAGAGACTTTATCTAGACGAAATTTTTTTAACTGTTTTTTAGTGCCACTCCCTTTCACTAACAAACCATCCAGCCTTGTATGGGAGAGGACCTTTTCAATGAACAGAATCGAAACCTTTTTTTAAATAATTCTTTTTTCATTTTACAATGGTTTACTTAAAAGTTCATAAAGTTCACATACATTGTTTTTCACACCAGGTCTTACCCCTTTCCTTTACCCATCCCTCCCTCCTTTAACTGAAGAATTGCTAGGTTTGCTCTGAATCACATAGCATTTGTTATTTTCCAATTTCCTTTTCCTCTTTAAATGATGTGCTTGATTAAGATACTGTCTTCTATGCCAGTCTAGATTAACAAGGCAAGCTTTTGGGATTACAGCAGTTTCTTACACTAGACCACACTGGAGCTCCATAGAAATTCCATATGACCCAGTTATTCCGCTAGGAATTTAGAATTGCTAGGAAATTAGAATTGAGACAAAAAGAGAGATTTGTACACCAGTGTTCATAGCAGCATTATCCACAATTGCAAGAACATGGAAATGGCCCAAATATACAACCACGATAGAATGACTTGAGAAATTGTAGTACATTCACACTATGGACTACTATGCAGCACCCATGAGCAACAATTTCGAAAATAACTACATAAGTTGAGAGAGACTGGACAGCATTATGCTGAGTGAACTAACTTGGACAAATATTGCATAAGACCATTATTGTAAAAATAGAAGAACTAGTAAAACATGTATGGGGATTCAAACAGGCAAGGTATGGAAGCAGAGGGATGAGGATGGACAGGGAGAAATTTCAGGGTTGCACCATTTGGAATTCCAGAACACTTGATCATGCTAATGCAGAACCTATACTTGGACCAGGAGGTAGTTGTCAGAACAGAGCAAGGAAACACGGCATGGTTCAAAATTGGGAAGGGTGTATGACAGGGATGTGTCCTATCTCGATACCTTTTCAACCTGTATGCAGAACAGATTATTGGAGAGGCTAGGCTCTATGAGGGGAAGTGTAGCATCAAGATTTGTGGAAGATCCATCAACATTCTGCATTATGCAGATGACATAACCGGGTTTGCTGAAACTGAGGAGGACCTGGAGCACTTGCTGCAGAGGGTCAAGCACTGCAGCCTCCAATATGGATTGAGGGTCAATGGCAAGAAGAAAAAGATTTTCACCACTGGGCCAACTGGCAGCATCAGGATGGATGGTGAAGAGATTGAGATTGTTCACAGCTTTAGTTTGCTTGGCTCCATAGTCAACACTCTTGGCACCAGTAGCCAGGAAATTAAAAGATGTATTGTGATGGGAAAGTCTGCTGTTAGTGACCTCTCCAAAATACTGAAGAGCAACGGTGTCACTCTGTAGAATAAGGTGCACCTGATATAGGCCCTTGTCTTTGCAATCAGTTGTTATGCGTCAGAGAGTTGGACAATGACTAGGGAGGATAGAAGGAGAATTGATGCCTTTGATCTGTGGTGCTGGACAAGAGTATTCAATATACCATGGACTGCTAAGAAAACAAACAGGTTCATCCTGGAGAGGGTTAAACCAGGCTGCTCCTTGGTGGCAAGGATTCTGAGGCTTTGTCTGACATACTTTGGGAATGTTGCAAGGAGGAACCAGTCCTTGGAGAGGGACGTCATGCTTGGGAGGCTGGAGGGACAGGGGAGAAGGGGAAGACCCTCTACGAAGTGGATTGATTCAGTGACTGGGGTAATTGGGGTGGGTGTGTCAGTGCGATTGGCACAGGACAGAGCAGGGTTTAGGGCTGTTGTACATAGGGTCACTATGAGTCACAAGTGACTCGATGGCACATAACAACCACCACCACCACCACCACCATTTGGTAGGTGGAGGGAGAGGGTAAAGGAAATGAGACAGATCCAGCAGGGAATCTGGAAAGATGGGGTAATGGTAGGCATAGTTCAATGATGATTAATTTTATAAAACACAATGAATGGGAATAACTGTATGAAACACAATGTATACGAACTTTGTATGCAAACCAATATAAAATAAAAATTAAAGAAAAGAAGGCAAGTCTCCAAGAAAACCTAAGGTTTTCAATCTACCAGTTGCTATGTGGGAGAAATATGGGCAATCTTTTCAAAACCACTATCAGATTGGAAGATAGAGCAGTCTCACTCATTCCATTGCTATTTATGGCCTTGAATGTCATCTTGAGTTTA